AGATGATTGATTACACTTCCAGCATTTAGCAGATCTATCTTTATACATTTTTGCCAGTCTTGCTGGTGCAAAATGCCATCTATAAAACATTTTATACAGATTTTCTTTATATGCAGTTGACATAGTCCGTTTAATATTTCTATCCCATAGTTTCTGCCATTTATCTAATTCTATTGCATACCCAAAATTTAGCTCCTTGTCTCCTTTACAAGTTCACTTTCAAATTTAATAATAAATTGCAATATAATTTCTTAATTTCACCTATTGTATTACAGTATGGTATGCTGATTTAACAGCTGCAGACAGGAAGGCACTACAGAGAGTGATCAATTCGGCACAAGAAACCATTGGTTGCCCTCTGACACCACTGGNTGCTTATTTCGGGGGTCAAAAGAAAATAAGACCCTGTCTTATTTTCGGGAAAACAGGGTAGCACATATGTGCGAGGGGAACCTTTACCTTTACCTTATGTAAGTTGATCTAGGAAATTCAGGTTTGTTTTCCTGATTGTAAAGTAAAAAAATATCTATCCTTGAAGAAAACATTGGCAAACATCTGTAACACTGTACAACCCTCCCCCCCCCACTATAGTAGATTCAGTATGCAGAAACTGAGGTTAATTTGAGTGAGTTTGTAAATTTATTTAGTCTGGCAATGAAAGGTCTATAACTTGGGATGATGTTGATGCTCCTACATTTCTGTAGTGATGGACAAAAATGTGATCCATAGGAAATGAAATAAGTTCTATGGCACTATGTAAAAGGCAGATGAAGATGTTATGCTATTTAGGATTGACCAGCTGCCATCGCAGCAGGACACATATGGGCTAGCGGGGCTCCATAAAACCCAGCCAATACTTGCTTGCCAGGCGACTCTACAGGGCATAATTAACAGGAATTACCCCTGAAACTGAATACTTGGCTTGGTGGATTAATGAGATTTGGGAAATATGGTGGGCTGCTCTGGATTATTAATACTAACTGATAGAACATCCTATGAGGCAAAAGAAGAAAAATTAAACAAGACTTATAAATTTTGATAACTTCCACCGCAAATTGGAAAATTCTGAGGACTATAAATTTTGTGGATTTTGAGGAACAGTTCTAGGACTGAGTAGATTTTACTAATATTGGCTTTTTTTGTGTTTCTGGGCAATTGAGACATTGGAATCTTTGTGGATTATTGAGTAACTTTCAGCCCATTAAATTAATGCAAAATGTTTCAACTTGGAAAAACAAATACATTTCAAAAAGAAATACTATTGACAGTTCAATGTATTCAGGAAACTAATGACAAGGAATCATAGGGAGATGGTGGAATTGACGCAGGATACAGATGTGAGACTAGAAAACCCTCAGCAAATTATAATGAAAGATGAACAAAAAAAAAGCAGAAAGTGGGATTATGACCAGTTGGCATCACAGCAGGATGGTTATGGGCTAACAGGGCTCCCTGGGAGCTTCACGAAACCCAATCAATACCTGTCTGCCAGGAGACCCTACAGGGCCAAAGCCACCCTGGAGGGGTGGTGAAGAAAGGAGGGATACTTTGTAGATTGCAAGGAAACAGCAATTTTCTGATATGATCCAAAAAAACCTCTCCTGATCAGCAGCGGAAACAATGTCCATTTTTGGCAAGACCAAAGCTGTGACAACTGGGACAAGAAGAATATGTGCTGGAGCGAGTTGTGAGCAGTGGATTGAAACTGGGTGAGATAAACTTAAACCCAAATAAAAGAACTTTCAAAAAAAGATTCTCCAAAAAGTTAAGAAAGCAGTGATTTATTACATGGAGAAAGATCACAGACCTAAAAATGAAACAAACTATCAAGGGAAGATTGTGAAGCTTTAAAATAAAGAAGGACTGGAACTGTTAGCAATGTAAAAAGGGATTGAATTTGTGGCTAATATCTCTTGATTATTGCAAGAACTCGTGCAAAAAAAGAGGAATTTTGCTTCTCATTACTCCTATTTTTTCCCTGAGTTTTACGATGTTTAAAGCTGGATTTTAGGGCGGGGCACCATTTACTGGTTAAAGAAGATATTGTTGTTGTTGTTGTTGTTGTTGTTGTTGTTGTTATTATTATTATTATTATTATTATTATTATTATTATTATTATT